ATTCTTCAACCCAAAAGGTAATACAGTAAACTCAAACAAACCCACATGTGTCATGCATGCAGTTTTTGACTGATCTCTTGGCCACCTTTAGTTAAATATATGGTAGTAATATACTAGGCCCTAGCCATCTTTTCAATTAAATACTCAGACTGGGCATAGGGTAAGCATCCAAATGAGTTATTTTGTTACATTGCCTATAATCTACACAATCGAATGATATGATCAGCCTTTTCTACTAATACTACAGGCAATGCCCAAGGACTCTCTGATGGGATAATTATTCCCATTTTAAGCATCAACTCGATCTCATGAGCAATACTGTTATTCAAATGACCCGTTACTCTACAATCCTAATACGATTGTACACCCCTTTTACTCTACAGGTAAATTTGGGGGGAAAAAAGGTTTGTATTTATTCAGCAGGCCAATTATTTCTTCCTTTTGATTAGAAGTAAAGGAAAGGTCAAAGTTAACTGCCTGTATCCCTCCTCCCAAAACTTCCCCAGGTTCCCACTTTGGAACTGGAATTTCCTCATCTGCAGCTTCTTTGACAGCATATAGAAACAAATTTTCCCTTCTTTGATAAGGTTTTAATGTATTAATATGAATCAGTTTACAAACAATTTCACTCCCCAAATTCACTATATAATTTACATCATTCATCCTTTCAGATATTAGAACCAGACCATTCCATGCATATTGTAACTTGTTTCCTTTCACTGGCCAAAGAATCAAAGCTTCATCTCCAGGGGGAAAAAAAATCTATTTCTCACCTTTTTATCATACCAAGTCTTTTGTTTACTTTGAGCTGATTTTAAATTTTCTCCTGCAAACCATAATGCTTCCCTTAAAGATGTCATCAAGTTCTGTATATATGTCAGTAGCTCTTTTCCATCCAGATTCTCCCACTCATATTGAATAAGGTCTAAAGGTCCTCTCACCTTGCAACCAAATATTTTTCTGTTGTCACCCCCACACTCTGGAACGGTCTGCCAGATGAGATCCGTCAGTTAACATCTCTGGACAGCTTTAAAAAAGCTGTCAAGACAGATCTCTTCTGGCAGGCCTTTCCAGACTAAAAAAAATACCCGGCCTCGGGACTCTCGAACCTTGGGATCCTTTTCCCTCCTCATGATTGCCTTCTCAGCCCCTTTTTAGAACTAAAGTTGCAGGGGTTTTATTGGTTTGTATGTTTATTGTTTTATTGTCAAGTTGAATTGTAAGTTGATTTTAACTGAGATCTAGTTGAATTGATTTTTAAGGGGGAGGGACTTATATTATTTTAAGTTGTATGCATTTTAGACTTGTAAACCACCTAGATTGGCTCGCCACTGGGTGGTATATAAATAAAAATTATTATTATTATTATTATTATTATTATTATTATTATTATTATTATTATTATTATTATTATTATTATTATTTCAAATGGACTAAACCCAAGGCGGTACTTCTCGATAAGCAAACAATAGATGCTGAAGCTTACTATCCCAATCGTTTTTATTTTCAGCTATATATGTCTTGAATTCTAACCAAAGTTCCATTAAATCTCTCCACAAGCCCATTCATTTCTGGGAGATAAGATGCTGTAGTCAAATGTTTGATTCCACAGACAAGCTGCTGTAGTCAAATCATAGAATCATAGAATCATAGAGTTGGAAGAGACCACAAGGGCCATCCATTCCAATCCCATGCCATGCAGGAACTCAAAATCAAACCATTCCCGACATATGGTCGTCCAGCCATCTGTTTGATTGCATAGACTTCCCAAAGTTTCTGTATTCACCTGGGAATTCTAATCTACAAAAAACATTTACTAAAGTGTTCGCTATGGTGCTTCATAAAGGTACTGCTTCTGGATATCTGGTATCATAATCTACTATAGTAAGTGTATATCTGCTTTCTCTCTGAATCGCTTGTGCTATTCTGAGTCGCTTGTGCATAATAGGACCTATTATGTCCACACCACTCTCTGAAATGGCTGTGATATCTCTGGCATGGGACAGCACCTGGTTCTATTATTGCCTGTGCCCATTTTCTGGCAAGTGTCACAAGACTTACAAAAATGTTTGATATCTTTTGCCATCTTTGACCAATAGAAATTCAGACATATCCTTTGGGTAGTTATCTTTATTTCTAAATTACCTCCAAATGAACTCTATGGGCCAATTCTAATATCTTAGTTATATATTTGAGGGGTACAACCAATTGTCTATGGATCTCTTTCTGAGTATTATGTTTGAACTTCAAGGTTTCTCTGTATAGTTTATTCTGCATAATCCTGAATCTGTGAGGATGTTCCTCACTTAACTCTAAGTCTTTTTCTTCAGATAGATCGCACAAAGATTTTAAACTTTTATCATCCTTCTGATCCTAAGGGGGAAGCAGACAGGCAGCC